AAAGGTCATTGCAGTCGCTTATGGAGTCATATTCCTCAAGCAGAAATGTTTTAACATTGACCAAAGGCTCTTATGTTGAAACTTTATTGCCGCTCTGCTGATGTTAATGGTCCCCTTTTCTGCCGGCGCTCCCAAACTCCCACACTGTACTCCTTCCTCAACGCCAGGCCTATCGGCTCAACAGGCCGACTGGTGATTGCTCTGATGGATGGCTGAACCCTAGAGGAGTCGTGAGTCTCGCACTGAAACGAGTGAAGGTTCAGCACCTCGCTACACCCACCACGAGCCGTCCAATCACCTCCACACTTTGACACATCATTTCCCCTGTGATTTGTGGCCGGAGTGAAGGAGACAAGGAAATGTTCTGCCGCCATGAGAACAGATGGATGTTGAAGCTCTGCAGACTGAGACGAGGGTTGTTTCCTTTTTCTTTTCTTCCCTCTCCCGTCCTTAAGAAGCCTCTTGCGTTATAAGGGGTTGGTTTCATGCTCCATAATGGACTCCTGATGACTAGCTATTACAGCACATTTTCAGAAAATTACCTGCCATTTCTATCTTACTTTTGGGGTGACATAAAACTGATTAACTGTCCTTTCAGGAAAGTGGCGTATTATCTTGTGAAAGTCCTTTTTGTGCCGTTTTATGCAGGATCACATTTTCAACCACTCTGATTGCGATCAAAGATTGGCGGTAATACTATGAAATGATTGCATGATGTAACATACGTGCAATTCGTAAATGAGAGTCTCGTTGGGCAGCAAATGGTCACCGTCTCTTTCATCCCCCCCCCCCCCCCTCCTCAAGTTCACATGTTTTATCTTGTCTCTGAGAAGCGAAGCCCCCTTTGGGATGTTTGATGTTGCAGATCAGAACGAGAGGCGGTGATGGCACGTTGGCTGTGGGGCTTCATCATTACACCGAGCCACATTCAATCTTCTCACCATCAGATAACTTCAAAGAATTTGCGAAGCACCACCTTCCCAAAATATCTGGAGATTCCCACCGGTGTTGTGTGTTAGATTAGCAGCACGTTATTGAAGTTTCCTGGGGAAAAGAAAATAATTTAAAAAAGTCTCCAACTCTGCCTGAAATCTATCCATCACCACAGGCTCCGAGATTTCATAGCACACCACACGTTTTTTCATCTCTGTCTGATTCTTTTTCACTTCTGTGCATTGATCCCTCCAGCTCTGCCGTGCCAATAGCTTCTCCTCTGTGAGACCTTTCCTCGCCCTCCATCTCTTATCCATTATTCATCACTCCCGCTCCGTCTGTCGAGCCACAATCCCTCTCACCTCCATTATTTTGCTATATTGCAATATATATGAAACAATGACGCTGACGCAATTGTTGCATTCTTGGTAGAGATGCTACAGTGGGGCAAAAAAAAAAAAAGTATTTAGTCAGCCACCAATTGTGCAAGTTCTCCCACTTAAAAAGATGAGAGAGGCCTGTAATTTTAATCCTAGGTATACCTAAACTATGAGAGACAGAATGAGAAAAAAAAAATCCAGAAAATCACATTGTCTGATTTTTAAAGAATTTATTTGCAAATGATGGTGGAAAATAAGTATTTGGTCAATAACAAAAGTTAATCTCAATACTTTGTTATATACTCTTTGTTGGCAATGACAGAGGTCAAATGTTTTCTGTAAGTCTTCACAAGGTTTTCACACACTGTTGCTGGTATTTTGGCCCATTCCTCCATGCAGATCTCCTCTAGAGCAGTGATGTTTTGGGGCTGTCGCTGGGCAACACGGACTTTCAACTCCCTCCAAAGATTTTCTATGGGGTTGAGATCTGGAGACTGGCTAGGCCACTCCAGGACCTTGAAATGCTTCTTATGAAGCCACTCCTTCGTAGCCCGGGCGGTGTGTTTGGGATCATTGTCATGCTGAAAGACCCAGCCACGTTTCATCTTCAATGCCCTTGCTGATGGAAGGAGGTTGTCACTCAAAATATCACGATACATGGCCCCATTCATTCTTTCCTTTACACGGAGCAGTCGTCCTGGTCCCTTTGCAGAAAAACAGCTCCAAAGCATGATGTTTCCACCCCCATGTTTCACAGTAGGTGTTCTTTGGATGCAACTCAGCATTCTTTCTCCTCCAAACACGTCTAGTTGAGTTTTTACCAAAAAGTTCTATTTTGGTTTCATCTGACCATATGACATTCTCCCAATCCTCTTCTGGATCATCTAAATCAGTGCTTCTCAAACTTTTTTCAGTAATGTACCCCCTTTGAAACATTTTCTCAGCCAAGTACCCCCTGACCGATCCAGAACATTTTTGATCGAAAAAGCCTACATAAATAATTACAATATAGTGATGTTCCCTCAGTGTGTGATGTATTAACTCCTTCGTGGTATGCATTACAACAAACTAAGGATATTTTCACTTTATGCATGAAAAAAAATAACATAACACTTTTATAAAAACAGATTTTTCCAAGGAGTTTTTCAAGTAATATGTTATTGTGAAAAACTATCAAATACAATACACACATTTGACATGTTTATATGAGGACCCCCTTGGTGGTTCTAGGAATGTTTTATATACAATTATGTTTTCTATTTAACTTATTTTACTAAGATTATTTTTTTAATTAACTTATTATTTATTTATTTTTTAAATCTCGCGTACCCCCTGCAGTACCCCAACGTACCCCCAGGGGTCCGCGTACCCCCATTTGAGAATCACTGATCTAAATGATCTCTAGCAAACTTCAGACGGGCCTGGACATGTACTGGCTTAAGCAGGGGGACACGTCTGGCACTGCAGGATTTGAGTCCCTGGCGGCATAGTGTGTTACTGATGGTAGCCTTTGTTACTTTGGTCCCAGCTCTCTGCAGGTCATTGACTAGGTCCTCCCGTGTGGTTCTGGGATTTTTGCTCACCGTTCTTGTGATCATTTTGACCCCACGGGGTGAGATCTTGCGTGGAGCCCCAGATCGAGGGAGATTATCAGTGGTCTTGTATGTCTTCCATTTTCTAATAATTGCTCCCACAGTTGATTTCTTCACACCAAGCTGCTTACCTATTGCAGATTCAGTCTTCCCAGCCTGGTGCAGGTCTACAATTTTGTTTCTGGTGTCCTTTGACAGCTCTTTGGTCTTGGCCATAGTGGAGTTTGGAGTGTGACTGTTTGAGGTTGTGGACAGGTGTCTTTTATACTGATAACGAGTTCAAACAGGTGCCATTAATACAGTTAACGAGTGGAGGACAGAGGAGGCTCTTAAAGAAGAAGTTACAGGTCTGTGAGAGCCAGAAATCTTGTTTGTTTGTAGGTGACCAAATACTTATTTTACAGAGGAATTGACCAATTAATTCATTAAAAATCAGACAATGTGATTTCCTGGATTCTTTCCCCCCATTTTGTCTCTCATAGTTGAAGTGTACCTAGGATGAAAATTACAGGCCTCTCATCTTTTTAAGTGGGAGAACTTGCACAATTGGTGGCTGACTAAATACTGTTTTGCCCCCACTGTATAACAGAAAAGTAGATAACAACATATGCGCCTTTGACTCTTGAGTCTTCAGTCATGCTAGTGGCTCTCTGAGGCTGTACTTTGAGTTAAATGCTAACATCAGCATAGTAACAAGCTGATATTTCCTATAAGAAAATAAAAGCTTTGACCTGACAATGGCGTTGAATGAAAAGTCACCAAAGTCGTAAAATTAAATTGTCTCTGAAATATGAATGTGTGTATAATTTGAGCAAATTCATCAAGTAGATGATCAGATCATTCACTGCATAAGTAAAAACCTTGATAGGTCAATGGGTCCCCAAAGTCAGTTACATTTATCCTCTTGGGACCCTGACTATCTTTGACACATTTCATGGCAATCAATCTTTTGGATGTCAAGATTTTTCACTCTGACAACCTGCTGGTGGAAATGGAAAGTCAAAAAATCTCAAGAGTCAGTGGGATTTATCCCTTGTGGAATATGAATAACTTTGCAAAATGTAGGATTGGTTAAGATCTTTCCATCCTAACTTAAAGGTGGGTAATTTTGGAGAAACCAGCTCGAGTGCGCTAGAATTTGAAAATACACAGCCGGAAAAAATCTGCCACTTTCTTACAGAGCCCCTCCTCCAACACACATGAACGCGCACATGACCAATGAGGGCACGAGATAAGTTTGTGCCCAGATGGAAGGCTGACAGGCAGGTAGGCCATCCAGTTACTTTAGCCGGGCCGGCTCAGATGATTGGTCGTGCTTTTTACAGTACTACGGCTTCCACAGATGAATTTTGTTATGGATTTTTTGTCAAAGCACTCAAGATATTCATTGCTATCGGGATGTTAAGAGCATTCCATGGAATATAACAAAAAGTGTATCTCGAGCCGGTTTCTCAAACTTACCTACCCCACCTTTAAGTGGTGGACCTGGCAAAAAGAGTTGTTAATAATTGTAAAGATAGGGAACGTGTGTGTCAATAAGCTGGTATAAACCTCTGCCAACGAGACAAATAAGTGAAGGATATTTTCATACTCAATACAACTTAAGTTAAGAGGTTACTGTGAGTCATCGTTGTTAAATTGATAAAAAAGAAAAATGACAATGAAACACTTTTTAGCTCAGTGGTGCTAAAAGTTAAAGCTGTGACTGGATTTTTTTCAGCAGGTTTTCTGCACGTATAGAGTATAACGCTGTGTGTGTGAAGAATGCAAATCTATCTCACAAGTTTTACATATACAATTTGTGTATATGCAGCCAAAATGTTCCTCAGTCATCACCTCTTTTCTTGCCTGGGTGCTACAGTATATTGTGTATTTGTTGCCTTTGAACAATATTATTTTTGTTTTTATACAGTATATTCATTTTTGTTCTACACTTTAGTTGCCTTTTCAAAGTATTTCTGTTGTTGTTACCCGTTAGCCTTTACTGCTGGCAGATTGTAACTATGAAGACATTTGATTTAACGATCAGTTTTATTTAATGATTGCTGCACGTCTCTGTCTTGTTAAAGTGCTCTATCTCTCTCTCTCTTCACAGAAGAAGTCGTTGATCGCCACCAGTCTGATCGTGGTGGTGTCGCTCTTCGTGGTGGTGGTGAACTACTCGGAGAAGCCGTACTTCCTGCTGAAGCCGGTGTTGGATCAGACGTTCAGCAGCCACTGGATGTTCTCCAAGCAGCCGTACAAGGCCTTCAAACCTCACCTGGGCTACGTTAGCATCCCCAAACAGGAAGTGAGTGACACACAGACTAAAAACACAAACACTAACCAGCATGCACAATCAGAAATGGCAACCTCACTCAACCTCAAAAGGTTGAACATCTCTACTAGACTTGATATGAGTTGATATTTAGTCCAATCAATTAGGTAAGCAAACTTGTGCAGCACATGTGTTTTAAAAAAAAGCAGGACATAAAAAAAGGAACTCACCTTGTGATAAACCCGCAAGAGAAAAAGCATTTGAGCTCCATACTATTTCAGAAATAATCCTTGACGTGGTTTAAACAGGATGGCGTTTTATCACAGCAGAATGTAACTTTATCTCCGGTAGAATTCTGATCAGGCATTAGCTCCGCCTCCTCTTCTTTCTTTTTTTTCAAGCTAAGGACCCAAGATCCGCGTTTCTCTAACAGGGCTTCAAAAGAGGGGTTTGAGCAGTATGAGGCATGGCTACAATGGGTGATCTGTTTGGTATTTTGAAAAAAAACTTCACAGACATGTTTTGTATAGGTATGGCCCTACAATATGTTTCAAATATAGCATGATAGGTCCACTTTAAAGTGTAATCTCTTCCTCCCTCTGCCTGTCCTCCCGCTGGATGTCAGTCCACTTTAAAGAATTGAAAGTTGTCGTTACCCATATTACAGCTGAAAATGACAGACGATAACATTAAAAAAGCTAATTAAAAATGACGGAAAAAGGAAAACGTTGGTACACGTCAGTTATCAAGGGGAAACAACAAGAAACTTCCATTTGTAACATATAAAGTGACTAAACACAGTTAACAGTTAATAACTTCACAATGGTAATCTGAAGCTTTAGTTTTAATGTTGTTTGAACATAATTTAATTGACCAGTCAACAAGTGGATAACATCAATGACAGCATAAGCATCTAATATTTTACAATGAGTCTTTTGACATTTGTCCTATGATAGTATTTCTGTCATAACGTCTCTCACAGGTTATTTTATTCTGCATTTATATTCTAAAACCCTCAGTTGACGTTAACCCGCCATCAGGCAGCTTCACCTCGATAATGAAGGTGTATTCATAAGCGCTCATTCAGACAGCAAAGCGCCTCCTTGAGGATTTCTTCATTCATTAACTCAGGTTCTCTGTGATTGTTCTGGAAACGCCTGTTTGAGGTCTCTCGTGTGCACTATTTCTTTGTAATTCCAAACAGCCATGTCCGTGATCCTATTCTTCTGCCTTCAAACACCTCTCTGCTGTAAATTCCCTGCACAATTTATGGAAATTGAAATATCAAAGCATTTTAATTCCCACCATATCAAAATGTAAAAAAACAAGCGGTTTGTTTGTTGTTTGAGGGAAGCAGCCCCGAAACCCTGAGACTGTGCTTATACTGGTGCACATTGGGTAGTCCCGCAGGAAAATCGTTTATTTTTCTCGCAGAAATGCGTGCAACGTTTCAGTCTGACGGGGAATGAGGAGAGTGCTTTCAGTTTGGGCTGCAACACATCTAGATTTGGAGTTTCGATGGGCGCGTTGGTCCTTAAAGAGGATGCCTTGTATTCAGCACGCTGATATTGGCAGATAAATGCAGAGCGCCACCCTCTGCCTCAGGAGGTTTTCATCCACACAACGCAGGCCCAGAGGCAATCACGTATTTCACCAATCTCTACGTCTGCACCTCCTTCTGCCTCCAGACTGCTGCTTAAATCACTGCTCCCTCCCCATGGAGAGATGTATGCAAATCATAGGAAAGACTGGCAGCGATTACCGAATTACGACTCGTTTCGGCTCAAATTCCCCCAGCAGTGAGTTCTTCACAGCCAATCAGAAAGGGCAGTGATTGACCTGGACGTGTGTGTCAAAAATGTTCTGCACATTGCCAAAATCTCTGACAAAGGATGGACAGAATAGTGGAGGTCTGGTCAAGGTGATGCTCGTGTGCTGGTTGTCGTAAGCGATTATGTCCGGAGTGAAAGCCGCTGTGTGAGCTGTCAGCCTCTGTTAAGCACACAGCAACACCTTTAGAAGCAGCAATATTTCTCCCAGACAGTAAGGCAATCTTACATGACCCACAGTGAGGTGTCATTCCAGGTGTTATAAACCTCTTGCAAGCATGTATAATGCATAACCTGGTTAACTTGGGGAATGGCCGGCCTTATTTTCTTCATTTGATTGAGTCTGCCTCCAGGTGTGATAAATCGCCCCCGCTCTGCCTTTCAGGAGAAATAAAAAACATTTGTCTTGTGGCACTTTATATTCAGGACCCTGGTTCATCTAGGTTGGAGGCAGAAACTCATTATTTTCATTTTAGACGTATGTTTTTTCTATTACACACTGACCTTTTGAAATGTACTATTGTGCAATATGAAGGAAAATATGCTTCTATCCTTTGATTATTATTATTAGAAACTCTTAGGTTCTAGGCAAGCTGAGACTTAGCTATATTTCCACCTCATCATGCAAACATGCTGATGTTTGTCACTTAATGTTTAACACTGTTGACAATCTTGTTCTGCATGTTAGTGTCCTGCATGTCTTAATTAACACTAAACACAAAATTCATTTTAGGATGATGAAAATGTCGTGTCGACGTGTTAGATGTTATTTTTACCAAAGTGGGTGCATTTTTGTGAAATGGCATAGACTGTAGTCGGTCTTTTTTAGGTAAAATAAATACTCATATCTTCAAATGGTACATCTGGTAAAGGGAAAGCATTGCACTTTATCCAGTCTTTTACGACGCCTCAAATGCTTTATACAAGTCATGATTCTCCCGTTCACACAGGCAGCCGTGCAAGCTGCCACCTGTTCAAGGATCACACACACACACACACACACACACACACACACACACACACACACACACACACACACACACACACACACACACACACACACACACACACACACACACACACACACACACACACACACACACACACACACACACACACACACACACACACACACACACACACACACACACACACACACACACACACACACACACACACACACACACACACACACACACACACACACACACACACACACACACACACACACACACACTCTCCGCTGGCCATGACATCGGTTAAGTATCTTGCCCAAGGATACATCGACATGTTGCACTGCAGGGACTGGGATCGAAACCCACCACCTTTTCTGCTTGACAGACGACCGCATTAACTTATTCACATTAACTTCAATAAGTAATGTGAATGATTTCCGCATTTAAAATCTTCAAACTACTTTGTCTTTTGAGACATATATAAATATTTCATCTGTGGAAGCCGTGGCGCTGTAAAAAGCAAGTCCAATCATCTGAGCCGGCCCGGCTAAAATAATTGGATAGCCTACCTGCCTGTCAGCCTTCCATCTCGTGCACAAACCTATCTCGTGCCCTCATTGGTCGTGTGTGTGTTCGTGTGTGTTGGAGGAGGGGCTCTGTAAGGAAGTCTGAAGGAAGGGGCAGATTTTTTTCAGTTGTGTACTTTCAAATTCTAGCGCACTCGAGCTGGTTTCTCCATTCTTACCTACCCTACCTTTAAGTGCAGTACTGCATGTGAATGTAATTATTTACGTCCCACCGCTGCCCTGTAGTATAATGTTTGTGCCCCAAGAGGAGCTTTTGTACTGGGACTCGGCCCCATTAATGTAATCATTATTGCTATTAATTAATTAATTGTGTTTAGAGCATTTTAATCAACGTCAAGCTTAACTTCACACCCCGGTGCTATAATTAAATGATGACTGAGTTCACAGCATTAGGCCTTCTTATTTATTTTTAAATAACCTAGTTTATCTTCGACACAGTCAATCATTTAAATCTGAGGCTTTCAGTAGATGTTGTACTTATCCGAGCGTGGCAAAGTTATTGGGATTATAAAAGTGCCCCCTGTTTACGATTACTGCATGGCGCACTGAAACAGCTCCATCGTAAACATGAAACTGAAACATGAATCACAGCTGAGCGGACGAAGAGGCCATAATATTTTATTGATGTACAGGAAGTAATGGTCAGAGATTTGTTGGCTCGAACCCAGTCATATATACAAAATCAAAATAGGGTTTCTAGTCGTTAGATTACTTTTTTACACTCTTCATTAATAAAGTGATTCATGTTCATCGGAAACTAATAACGTTTTATATTTGTGAACTACTCAGAAGCCGTTTTTCTATTTCTAAATGAAGCTTAATTAACGCAGGAGTAATCTCACTTGGTTCTGTTTTATTAATTAACATCCTCACCCCTCACTGCATCTCTACTGCAGCAGTTGTGTGTAAAATGCCTTGCTCAGGGGCTCCTTAGCGGCAGGTTTTCACCATGTGTCTGCCATGCAGTTAGCCAGCCTGCGTTCCCCTCAGAGTTCAGCCAATCTGTGTGTGCGGAGAGGCGTGATGGAGTTATGAGCCGGCTGAGGGGGATGATGGACAAGCCGCTGACAGCTCAAGGCTGCACTGATGTGTGTCTCAACCACCCTGCAAACGGAGAGATCGTTTCTTAACCCTTGACTGAATCCATACATGAGAGGAAAAGCAATGGCAGGTAGCTCTGGTGGAGAATCCTAAGCAGGTGATCTGCTCTATTCACCACTATGTGTTGATAAGTGTAGCGGGGGTCTCTGTCCTCTTGATTATATCCATGCACACTTTGAACCAGCCCTGATAAATCTCTTTTTTTGTGGTTAATGACAACCATGACTTGTGATTATGCTGCTGGACTAACTGCTGACAGTAACAATCCAACAAAAACAGCTCCTATAATGATTTAAAGATGATTTAATTGCTTATAATAATAATAACTACTGTATGTAACTATGTGGGCGACTGTGGCTCAGAGGGAGTGCGGTTGTCTTTCAATCAGAAGTGTGTGGGTTTGATCCCAGCCCGCGCAGTCAGCATGTTGATGTGTCCTTGGGAAAGACACTTAACCCTGAGTTTCTCCCGATGGCATGAATGTGTATGAATGTTAGATGCCTGGCCTAGAGCAAGTGACCCTGCTCTGTATGAATGTGTGTGAATGGGTGAATGACTCGTAGTATGTAAAGCGCTTTGAGGGGTCGTAAAGTTTTGATAAAGCGCTGTATAAGTACAGTCCATTTACCATTTACTGTTAACATCACTTTGTAACACTTAATAATAATAGATTTAATTTGTTAGCGCTTTTACAGGTGCTCAAAGATGCTTTACAGATATAGTGAAGGGAAAAGAAAAGGAAGGAACAACAAATACATATATAGTTAAAGTCAAATAATACAAAAACAATCACACATTAAAAGCCAGATTGAAGAGGTGAGTTTTTGTGAGTTTTTTGAAGGTGGTGAGTAGTGTTAATTTCGTTGGATCGTCGAAATATGTTCGTCAACGACCTTTTTTTCCATGACGAAAACGAGACGATGACGAGACGGCACCGACGGCAGTAAACAATAACTGTAACGAAATCATCATGCAATATCGTTGACATAGTGACGAGACGAAAATGTAGTTTACTAAATAAAAACTATGCCAAAATCTCTCTTTACTTTTGTTGACGAAAAATGAGGAGACGAAATATTATCAAAGATAACGTTACATCTCTGATAGTCAGTTTTTCTCCCAGCAGTTCCATTTCCGGTGCTGCGGCAGGGCAGCAGCTGTGTGTCCGTGCTGCGCGCGGCGGTACATTTGAATTACACCGGGCAGCTGCAAAATATGAATTGTCAGGAAGACTCGGGTCTAACTCATGGTCTAACTAACCTTATTTAACAGAAAATAAAATGGCAACAACAGGGCTTGGGAGCAGTGGTCGCACTCACGTTAACCGAATTACCCCCCCCCCCGTCAGCGCGAGTGAGTGATAAATTGTGCACTCGACGGGTAATAATGGATTATGAAGGAAATGTTACGATCCTGTCCGTCAAAATTACTGACAACGAAAAAGTCTAAAGCTACCACTGCTTGGGAGAAAGAAACGATGTGATATTTGGGCCCATTTTCGCTACAATGAGGCGGAGAAAAAAAGCGAATGCATTGTTTTATCAGAAGGGAAGCAATGTGGCCATAACACAGCTGGTAACAACACCACAAACCTGACCAGATACTCTCTGCAAAGCTTCTTAATCATTCAACCTGTGTTTTTCATCAAATAAAGACAAGATATAATCTTATTGTGAAATACGTTTGACTAAAATGACAAATTATTGGTTTTGGCTAGACTAGTTTGACTGAAATGTTCTATATAATCTGATGACTAAAAAAGACTCAACAGTTTTCATTGACAAAAAGTAGACTAAAATAATTAGTTTTCTTTGACTAAAATAAGACTAAAATGCTCAGACTTTTAGTCGACTAAAACTTGACTAAATAAAAACAGGATGAAGGTGACTAAATATGACTAAAACTAAAAAGAAAATTTAACACAGGACTAAGACTAAAACTAAATGAAAAAATAGCTGACGAAATTAACACTAGTGGTGAGGTCAGTGCAGTCTCTGATGGGTTGGGGGAGTGAGTTCGGAGAAGGCTCTGTCCCCCCAGGTCCGGTGATTGGTGCGGGTGGGGATGGATAGGAGGTTGGCTTCTGATGAGCGGAGGCAGCGGGAAGGGGCGTGGTGGTGCAGCAGGTCTGTGAGGTAGGGGGGGGCCTGATTGTTGAGGGCTTTGTGAGTAATGAGGAGGACTTTGAAGTTAATTCTTTGACGGACGGGGAGCCAGTGGAGGTTCTGGAGGACGGGAGTGATGTGGTCTCGGGAGCGGGTGTGGGTGAGGAGGCGGGCAGCACTTGCGCTTCTATTGGCTAGTGCTCCAACACATTGCACTTGTTAGGCTAAAGGGCGTGACATCTTTAAGTGGTTGACCAATCGCAACAGAGCCGGCCAGCTAACCAATGAGAGCAGACTGGGCTCTGGTTTCAGACAGAGGGTGAAAAGAGGTGCTGCAGCACAGGCAGTATGAGAAAAAGAGCTTTTTAAACATTAAAGCATGGAGACATGTCACAGTAGAGACACTACATACTGATATACACCTGAAAATGAGCATAATTTTTATCACGATTGCTCATACATTGTTCTGTTACAGATGTACTGTACACACAGATAGATTAATAACAAGTATATCATTATAATTACAAGACACATGAGTATTTACAGTTTATAATTTATTACTCACACGCAGACTCCCCATGCGGGAGTCACTAGTTTCCCGGGTGATGGGCTTTCATGGCTGCATTGTTACCTTGGAAACTGTAACCTATTATTACATTCAAAAGAAAAATAATAGCCTCAAATTAAGTCACATGATTACCTTCTGTATGAAAATGTTTACCAATTAAACGTGATTATTAATTTAATGTTTTAGAGGCATAATATAAATTAATACATTGTATTGTGAGATTCTTTTTGCTCCTAAAACTTTCTTGTTTGTTGATTAAAAGTAGAACGTGCAAGAGAGAACTTTGGCCAGACTACAGCAAAAATGCAATTTATATTCAAACCAGTGGAATTACAGTTACCCTCCATTAAGCAAATGATCAAACAGAGCTCCGTCACGACACAATGCTTTTTCTTTTTAACTTTCTCTTGCATTCATTCACTTTAAGTATGTTTAATCTCATCAAAACAAACCTAGCATATTAGCTTCAATCAGTTAAATCTCCCAGTTTGGATTCAGAGAGCTCTTTCCCTCTCTTGGCAAAGCTTAGCTAAGAGCTATTATTGAAGATTCATTACAAATCCCCCCGCTCCAGTAAAGTATAATAAGATATAAAAGGTATACAGTAAGATAAATGACACGAGTCCCCTGCTTCTTCGCTCTGCTTTGCCGCAGTAACACTGTTGTAACCTCTGAGGTCCCACATTCAATTAACTTAATCAATGTTAGTTCTGGGCATGGTGACATTAATCTTAGGACGTAAAATAAAATTATATAGGCCTGTAAAACCCTGATGAATGATTTAAATAAATAATTACCAAATGTATTTTAGTATCCTCTCATCACACAGGCCCCTTGCCAAAACGTCACTTTAATGTTTTTATTGCATATGGCAAGAGCAGTTACGTATTTAAGACGAGAAGTAAACTCTGAGGTTATCATTTTGTATTACCAAAATAAACTTTAAATTAAATACAGAAGCCGTACTTTATCCAATCGTTACACCAGGCGAGTTCCTAATGGGGTTCCTATCTTTGTAGAAATGGCATAATAGGAGCACATTTATTAAGAATGTTATCACTTTTTTTCCATTTCCTTTAAAGCAGAAATAAAGATTTTCTTTGTCCTTGACGCAAAATGATAATAACATTTTGCAGGAGACAAATGACTTCATTACTAATAGCAGAAGTTACCTCAACTTTTCTTTTGCAAGTTGGAGTGTTTATATCAAAGCAAAATAACTTTTTCTCGAGCCATTTAAGAAAATGATAAAGCACTGCAGTTCTGTGATTTTCTGATTCTGTGATTTCTTTTCTTTGTGGTCTCTTTTCTTATTATCTTTTTTGTGTGGCTGATCCACAGCCCTGCTTATGTTGCCTTGGTTGTCTATAAAAGTTATATATTGCTTATTCTCTCTTTAACCGCAGCAGTAGCCTCGATTCAAAGCAGATAAAGCGGCAACAGACAGGTCCTCCATGTTTCATTATTAAGTCTGTGTAAAGCCTATAATTAGATTAATTTTAAACAGACAGTTCAACAGAAGGATACCCAAAAAATGTAATTGTATCATTTAAATATTGAATTGTTCTCTCTTAGTAAGATCCCATTTTCAATAAAATGGTGGTCTTACCTTGACTTGAAGATGAAGTCCATTTGCCTATCCTTCTGGACAAAAATCTCTTACTTTTTTGTAAAAGTCCTCCTTATCTTCTTGTAGTTTCAAAAGTCTATCATAAATCTAATCGATAGATTTATGATTCGAAAATTATAAAGTAGTGTAGACATGTGGATATTATCCGGCTGAACAAAACGTACATTTATCTAACAGGTTTGTTTCCCACAGATCTTATTTTGAGCTATTTTCTAAAATCCTATGGAGAAATCTCATTGCTTTTTTGTCGAGGGAAGCCATGCGCAGCTTACTTCCGGGTTTTAGGATGCGTCACTGCAGCTCTCTCGTCTCCTCTTCACACACCACACTTTTCGCGGCACACGTACTTACAGCCAATCAGCTCTGAATGATGTGAGATGACGTATGGTGGGGATGGCAGCTCTATGCCCCTATGGTCATTATTTTTTTGCCACACACATTAAATAGGACAATACTCCGAGCATGCGCAGTGTAGTTTTTACAGTCACCATTGACTTAGACAGTGAGAGGGAGGGGCATGATCGGGTTTTGTCCCACATGGCTCTAAACAGCTCAATAGGCACACACTGTAGACACTAATTAGAAGAACACAGACTAAAACAGCAATGTACCGACGAATCAGATGATTAAACATGATCTTAAAATATATTTTATATATATTTTTTTTTTTTGCATTTTGTTGTAATCATTATTTTTAATACTTTCTGCTGACACTAGGTGGGGCTGAGCTTCAACGCGACAGAACCGTTTGGACGATATGTTAATGTGAGACTCGCACTAAAGATAAATGTGGCTCAACAAAGGCTTGAGACTAGATCGTTTTATGATTGACTTTGACCTGAGACTCGACTTGGCTTGAAACTTAATTTGTGACCTGACTTTCAACTTGCATTCACTTAATTGTTTCTTAACCTGGATTTATCTTCTCCTAAGATTCGACTCAAACTTGTCCTAAGATCTGACTTATAACATGTCCTAAATCTTCTCCTAAAACTTCTCCTTTTACTTGACTTTGTCTTCAGACTTGACTTAAACTTTCCCTAAGACTTGACTCCTTCTAACCTGTGGAATAGACTTTGCCTTGCCTCCATTAACTTGAGAGTAAATCAGACATGACTCGAGTCTTGACTTGATGCTGATGGATCGTTGTAACGGTCTTTTTGTCCCCCTGCAGCCTCTGAAGCTGCAATGTGAGCTCTGCAGCATCGTGTCCAGCTCCGGCCAGATGTTGGGCCAGGCTGCCGGGGCGCAGATCGATCGCTCTCCGTGCATCTGGCGGATGAACAACGCGCCCACGCGGGGTTTCGAAGTTGACGTCGGCCAGCGCACCACACTGAGAGTAGTCTCGCACACCAGCGTCCCCCTGCTGCTGCAGAAGCCTCAGTACTTCTTCGGACAGGCCAACGACACCGTCTATGTGGTGTGGGGGCCGCTGAGAAACATGAGGAAGGACGGGAAGGGCATCGTGTACAACATGCTGCGACAGGCGGCCGAGAACTACCCGCATGCACGCATCTACGTCACCACAGAGGAGAGGATGAACTACTGCGACATGGTCTTCAAGAAGGAGACGGGAAAAGATCGGTGAGTCACATCTCGTTAATATCTTTGATCCTGTTTTTTGGCTTTGCAACAGTCCTCTCTCAGACAAATGTACCACTTAGTGCTTTGACATTCACCGTCCAGTTCTTTGCTATAATATCATCTTTATCGATGCTGATGGTGTGCTCTGTGCTTTGCGTTTCTCAAATCCTCCCTTTCATGAGGCCTCTTCAAAGTGAATTACCGTACTTTCCCTCTGAAGAGGCTTAACGCGGCACCAGAGGCCGTTTTCCAACTCAAGGCTTTTACGATGAGCCTCAGAAGCATGGACAGCCTATGGTATATACCTCAGCCAAATGCCGGTGTGGGGAAACGTCCTGTTGTTAATGAGGTGGCAGGATTCTGGCAGTCTTTCTAAACACCCTGAGTGTAGCCGGCCTCACAACTTCTCTGACAGCATTTTGGCACATTTTGAATTTGCAAAACACTGTAAAATTATCCAAGCTACAGCTCTGTGACCTGGGAAGTTGAAAAAGTGTTTGTTGGCAACAACATGTGTTAAAATTGCACTCTGTAATTTAAAGACTAACCCACGCAGCAACTCCTTTCTCCTGCAAGTCCCCAAAGAGAACTGCAGGTTAATGACTATGAGATTCAGGCTCCAGCCTCGCTATTGTTCAGGACCAACCTCATTTCTCAGACTCGCCTCTGCTCATTTCCACAGAGCTCTACACCCCTGCCTCTCCCTCATGTCATCAAGACCTCTCTTAACTTCTTAAGAGGATTAACATGTTCCGTAATAGGCGTAGAATCCAGTCCATTCCAGCTCCATTGTCTCGCTCTTATTCAGGATGGCAGGGTTAACACTGAATTTCATGTCGAGTGTCCATGTTCAGCCTGGCTCAGCTGTTCTCGGGTCCACGAAGCACAGATAGAAACGTGGGATTAGGGAGCAGAGCTCGGGGAGAAGAATCTCATTACTGGACATAATGCTCCTGGGTGAGATGCAGGGCTTCAATCATTACTGATTGGTTACAGAGAGAGAAACTCGAGGTGTGAACAATGAAACACATCTAATGAAAACGTGACAAGCTCTGCTGCTTCCCTGCCTGTATGTTGTGTTTATATTCGTCTGAAACTTGGCTCCACATATTCCTGTATTTAAAATTAATTGGTGTCCATGGTTACTGCTTTTATATTAGCATGAAAGACAACAATAACATCGTCTACTCTAATGTACTGCATCCAGTGGGAGTGAAGGGAGTAGCCGCTTTTATGTTGAGCTTATTGGATATGGCATTATTCCAGAAATAAACTACGACTCTTTAAGATCCTCATAGAGATGCAAATGAGTTGTTTGAAGTCCATATATAATGCTCTCAAAATGTCTAAAAACTAAACCGGGTCAATCTATTTTTTCTCCTCATCCATACAAAGTTCATTTGATTGTTTAAGTTGATAAGAAATTGACTTTGTTAATAGTTTTTTTTAACTCAGACTTGTTTTTTCTTAGACTTGATTTAAAGTGGTCCTAAAACTTGTCTTAACACTGACCTACACTTGTCCTTAGACCTGACTTAAACTTGTCTTAACACTTGATTTAAACTTGTCCTAAGACAACTTGTGTTAAGTTAGAGAAGCGATATGATCATTCTGAAGTCAATTAAATCATTTTCTATTTATATTGGGAGTAAAGCCATTGGTTTATTCGGCATGCGGTCGTGTAATAAGCGGGATAATGTGCAGCGAGGCGGTCATTATTTTGTGTGTGTGTGTGTGTGTGTTCACTGGCTTACTGTCACTTCTCGCTTCCCGGTGGGGGAGGATAATCACCAGCTTGGAAATGGAGCAGTGATCGAACACATCTCTAATTATCCAGATTGCCGCGAGCAGCCGAGGAGACGCGCCGCCTCATCTTGAACTTGCTGATCAGCAGAAACCAGCTCCGGCTGACTGACTCTCCAGTCAACCGAGTGACCATCTCTCAGCCTGTAATTTGAAACCAGATACAACAAATATATATCAGGCATTTCTGGACAGAGCTGAGGATATTAAACGCAAGGACGCTCGGAGGTAGAGAAGTTATGATGATCTGAAATGCTGGAGTTCCAAGACGAAACTAGCAAACAACCACTTGCCACATTGCACACTATTTCTAAGCAGATTTTGAGTATGTTGTGTTTTTTTAAAACTATTTTTTATAGTATACACTCACTGTACTGTACTGTATGCAAATCCAAATAATTGTACTTAATATTTAAACAAGAAATGAAAGAATACATGCACCATCAAATAAACTGCATTTTTTTTATTGTATGTATATCGTATAAAAAAGTGTTTTTCTTAAAGATTATTGCTTTCTATCTCACTGGTAAGAAAATAGTAGAAAAAAAAACCCGCGATTTCTTTCCCCATCCTTTTTTTGTAGGCGCTACATTTTGGATTAAAAAGAACATTTTAAGAATGTAGAATAGAAAACTGCTTAAAAAATGATAATGTCTAGTGAGTTCTTTAAGGGATATAGCAGAAGTAGATACATCTGGAGGAGGTGTTTACTGAAGTATTACACGTCCAATTGTTGAAAACCCAATAGATCAAACCTAATTTCATACACACGATTCTGTGTTTGCTGGAAATAACCTTGTTTTCTCAAACAAAGAGACAGCTGAGTCATCAAGATATCCCTCTTTCTCTCTGAGCCCCATCATCATGTTGACGTCCAGGGACATTTCTCGCTCCTCGTCCTTCTCTCTTACTACGGCTAAAAGAGAAATAACAAAAATCCTCTGAGGAAAAAGACAATAAACGAGTGACCACAGCCCTGGATGTGAGCGTATCTGACAGCAGTTTAAACTCATGATTCATGTGATTGCGCAGTGCGGCTGGAAGTTGCTCGGCTGAAGCTATCTATTATCAGCGCTGCCTCCCGCGCTGCAGTCGCTGGCTGTCGGACCGTATCGGCGCGGCCCTGTTAGCGGCGGCAGATAACAGACCTTCCCACGACACAGCACTTAAATCACAATGTCACTTTACAGCACTGCCACCTGGGCCTGCCTGACCCTCTGCTTCCAGCTGCTGCTTCACACGTTGTGGAGGATGTGTGTTTGTTTCCTCTATTGTGACACTCTCCCTCTGCTTCTGATTGTGTGCAGTTTCATTTATATCTATAGGAACCGGCTCATTCCTTTAGGAACAACATTTATTTTTTTAATTGGAAACAAACATGTTTCTTCTTCAGTGTGTATTTATACCAGTCAATTACACTGAATGCAGGTTTAACCATCCAAGCGTGTTTTATACCTTAGGCACTTTTATTGTTTTAAAATCTGCATAGTTTACATCGGTTTGTTATTGTTTCATTGAGGTTCGCCTGAAACAGAAGGGATGTTACAAAGCTTACCTGAAAGACAGAGAAAAGAATCATCAAATAGATCCAAATAGAAAAAAAACAATCGTTGCTGTTCTGTATAAAATGGTTAAAATGAGACTTTAGAGAGATTTTCAACTTCCACTAATCAAAACTTAAGGTACATTTCCATGACTATAATTAAATAGCTAACAATTTAATACAGGGCTTTGTAACAAAGTATTCCTGTCATGTAGTCCGTATTTGCATTACAGAAAACAAGATTCAAATAACACAGAGATCTGCTGATTTAGCATTTCTTACGATCAAAAGACTCCGCAGGTGACCTTGAAATTCAAGAAGGAATACAGGTGTTGTTTTGAGATAAAAGCTAATTTTCTTTTGTTGTCTCCAGTTGGCTTTTCATGGCAACTCACGGAGCATGAAATTAACTTGTTTTTTAATGTGCAAACTTTAAAGTGGAGCCTCCTGTTCTGTAAAACAAGCACAACAGATAAAAGAAGACATGGACATTATGCAGCCGATCCAAACCCTAAATCGTTAAGACAAACCAACATCCACTGAACATTCACAAATGTATCTGCAGTTTGTCACGTCACCCCTGTCCCTGCTTGAGTGCATATACAATGAGTACCCTCTCATCAAAACATGGAAAGATGTGACTTTATGTCACAAACTCTACAGGTGACCTTTAATTCAGGAGAACACAGGTGCCATTTAGTCATAGCTCATTTATTCCTGTGTACTCCAGGTTATATTACCCCTTGTATCTCTGTTGCCCATCCAGCATGAAATTGGATAACTTGTTGTAATGTACAATATTATAGTATCCCTTCTGGCTCGAAAATTAACTCAAAAGACATGAATGTGACAGTAAAATCTGTGACAAGGTTTTGAAGGAATTATTTTGTTAAAAAGTCTCTTGCTGTGGTTGTAAAGCCACTGAAAACATTTAACTTAGGTACAATAACAACAGGATAAAATGAAAGAAATGTGACCAATCTTAACATTTGAGCAATAAAAGCCGAATCAGTGGCCAGAGAAATTGATCTTTAAAGGGCTCGCGAGCGCCTCAGGTTAAAATAAGATACTGATGCAAAATAACAAAAATGTATTTTGATATGTAATTCCTCACAAGGTGTGAGTCATTTTGATCCTAGATGAATTTAAAGGTGGGGTAGGTAAGTTTGAGAAACCGGCTCGAGATACACTTTTTGTTATATTCCATGGAATGCTCTTAACATCCCGATAGCAATGTAAAAAGCACGACCAATCATCTGAGCCGGCCCGGCTAAAGTAACTGGATGGCCTACCTGCCTGTCAGCCTTCCATCTCGTGCACAAATGTATCTCGTGCCCTCATTGGTCATGTGCGCGTTCGTGTGTGTTGGAGGAGGGGCTCTGTAAGGAAGTGGCAGATTTCCGGCTGTGTATTTTCAAATTCTAGTGCACTCCAGCTGGTTTCTCCAAAATTACCGACCCCACCTTTAAATGCAGATTCTCCACTATCATTGGCCTCCAAATATGAGGCGAATTTAATTTGTAATCTGTTTCTATTAGCCTGAATGTCACGGCTGTGTAATCATGCTTCATAATCTCGAACCGTCCACTTTATATGAGCGTAAGTACTTCTGGCAGTTAGCGTGCATTCATCCTAAAATAGTTTGAAATTAAAC